TCTCCAGTAAGGAGAACAAAAAAATCACAGATTGGGAACATGTGCTTTGTGTGGGGAGCTATGTTAGTCCCATGTCAGACAGAAGGCAGGGCAGGGTGGCAACCTTAGAAGCGATCTGGCACCTTAGAGGCAAAAACCTACTTTGTCAGCCAATGAAGTATGCTCTTGCCTATGAAAGTTTATGCCTCTCTGAACTAGATAGCCTCTAAGGCTGCATCCAGAGGAGCGTGGACATTTGGTTCCTTGGGGACAAGGTTACCCCAAGTGGGATAGGAAAGGCCGGGGCCAGCACAGTTGCTTACAGGGGTCTGGGGAAGCTGCAGCTGCATTGCTCCTGCAGCTTGGAGCCTGGCCGGCAGCTGGAACATGGCTCTGGTGGGTCAGGCTCCAGTTTTGGGTAGCATGTGCTGCAGCCTCGTACACTGCCCTGCTTTTTTCCCAGGCAGGTTTTTTGACACCAGAAGATCCCAGGGTCAAACCCCCTCCCCTCCCCACGCTTCAAGGTAACAGTGCAGGAAACACCTGTGCAGTGTGTGGCTCCGCAGATGGGCCAAAGGTGCCATCCTGCACTAACTCTTGCCTAACATGGGGTTGTAAAACACTAAGGGACCTTGAGGCAGGAAAGAGGAACAAAAGGCACAGACTTTTAAAAGGAGAAGAGACCTTCTTACCAAGGAAGATGAAAGTGAATTGGCTGGAGGAGAGAGAGAATGGACTCCATGGTCCCCAGGAAAAGCATGAGATGTGTAGTAACAGAAGAGGGGCTTCCAAATCCTGGAAGGACACAGACCCAAGCTCTAAAGAATACCCCAAGCTGATGAGGAAACTGAGGAACCCGAGACAGGAAAAGGAATATTTGGTTGTTTTTTCTGGAGCTGCATCTTCTGGTGCAGGGTAAAGTAATGCATTTCATTTTGAAACCCTTTTTCAAGGTGTGTGTGATAAACTTCAATTATAACATTTCCCTAAAGAGGTGAGCTGTAAATCAGAGCCCTCACCACAGAGCAAGTGTTAGAGATTTAGCTGGTATGAAATGGTGCAACTCTACTGACTTCAAAGGAATTATGAAGCTTTGTTCCAAATGAAGAGGGTCTCAAATATTATTGTACGTACTCTGTGCTATCAGCTTGAAGAAATCATATTGGACTCTATGGCCGTGCATTGCATCTTTTGTCAGAGGAGCGGCTCTCCGGCTCTTTCATTTTGTAGATCTCTCAACAAGAAATTGGTTACATTGTACTTTATCGACCTCCTCCTATCCCCACACAGCAGTTTCCTTATAGTAGAAAGAAATAAAAATTACCTCGAACCATGAGTCCTGCATGTAGAAAACACCTCAGCTTTTTTGTAAAATCTTACCTTTTTTGCCACTATTTCATGGGCAAAAATCTGGATGCTGTCTCAAGTAGTATGATAACAAATAAGGCTTTTACATATATTATAGTCATGCATGGGAATTAGCCCTTTTTAAATAATGTCCCTTTGTGCCCACATCTTTATTCATTTCATTTTCCTCCATGCAAATGTACATTCTCACTAATCCTTGCTTTGCCTAAGATATCCAGTAAAAAGGGATCAATGGAAAACGGTCTAAATCACCGGTGCTCAACCTCTGGCCCATGGGCTAAATCCAGCCCACAGGGCTTGTTATCTGGCCTGTGAGGCTCCCCACAGGACTGGACATTTGGTGGGAGGGGAGCAGTGGCAGCTGTTGTGAAAGCAGCTTGGAAGACACGGCAATTAAGGATTTTGAAAAGGGGGGTGGCAGTTGTGACACATCATCACATATAACATGACAAATATATTTCTCCAATGGAAGAGGAAATAAAAGATTTACTAATATGCAAGGGGTCTAAGCCCTACTCTATTCAGCTTAAGATCAAAGCAAAAGCTTTATTGGAATGTGCATTAATTTCTTAGATGATATACTAAGTTTAAAAAACACAACTAGGCAAGAATAGTCATAGTCAAAAGATATTATTTCACTAGTCCCATGTAGTCATTACAGTTGCACGTACATCTCTTATGTAGATTCATAAAACAAAATCTGGTCTTCCTGAGCATCTTGACAGTGACTCAATACTTAGCCACAGGTACATCTGAGTTAATATGCCCACACCTGAGTTAAGGTTTTTAGCTAGAGCTAAAACCAGTCTGCAGGACTTTGAAACAGAAGAGAAACATTACGAGGAATGGCTAACAGACAGTCAAATTGCAGAAGAAAGGGTAGTTTGAATAGTGGAACATCAAGACCATTAAAAATGAGAAAGGCTCACTGATACCTGTGAAGTGAAGAAAGAAGAGCAGGAATCAGGTAGATTATGAGTCTGAAGTCAGTTGATTCCTTCAGTGCTGCCTGAATAAGAGGCCACTTTTTCTGCCAAGGAGTTGGTTTTCAACTTTGGGTGAAGCAGGAATCAGGTGGGTACAAAGGCACCACTGCACCTCACGATGGACTGCACACTGCATGGATCTGTTCCACTGCGGCCAATCCAACACATGGGGCTAGACTGTCATGCTGATCGCACTTGCAGACTGACCCCATGCTGGATCCAGCTGGTGGACCAACCCCTTCCATGGGATCCAGGCCATGGATCAGCCCCACCCCACAGGGCTAAAAGTTAAGTGCCACTGATCTAAATCAACAGTTTTCAGAACAGAGCCTGTGCGGCTCACCACAGTGAGAATAGCTAGGATACAACACACGGTTAAATAGAACATTGTCTTTTTTAAATAATTTATACAAGATTAAGCAAAATATTCTATACTCTATACACCTCCTCCCAAAAATGAAGGATAACTCCAAGTGATTTAGAAAACATTTTTCACATTTTCACTGGTGTCAGTGATGATGAACACTTAATCTTTCCTAAGCAAATATATCTTTTATAGGAGCATTTCCTCTCCGCCTACACCTAAGCAAGAAATGTGAGAGATTAGATGAGAGAAACTTGACTTGATATTGAAAAGCAAGATTACTCTTCTTTAATATTATAGAGGCTGAAA